CCCCGGACAGGGGCCGCCCCTTCGCTGAGCAGGCGGCCGGGGCTGGCGGCTGGCAGGAGGGTCCCGGCGGAAGCCGGGCACAGGCCCGGGTGCAGGGCCAGGGTGGCTGCAGGTCCCAGCCCTCGCTGCCCCAAGAGGAGCTGCAGAAGCTCTGGGGAAAGACCTGCTGAGCAATTCTGACTCAGGTGATTTCCAGGCTACGAAAAACACAGCTATTCCTATTCAAAGATTAGTCAATTATTTTGAAGATGAAAAGGAAACTGAGCAGCGTTCTCAAGGCCTGGTTTGACCCATGAACTCAAAACTTCTCCTGCCGACACTGGAAACGTGGGGCTGCTCTTCTCTGTGACGCTTTGGTACTAACGCGGTGCTTCGAGCGGTCAGCAACGCCTGACGCAAAGCTCCTCCGTGGTTACCGCCAGGTCCCCCGCCGGTGCCGGGGCTGCGGGGTGCCTCGGCACAGCACACGGCCGCGGGACAGGGCTGGGTGCTGGGCAGGGGCTGCTGTGCCCACGTGCCTCGGGCCGGGAAGACGCATCTGCCCTCCTTTCCCTGCGAGACAGCAGCTCCGTCCCTGGGACCCCTGGCGGCAGAGCTGATGGCAGCGAAGGTAGCGTGGAGGCATGAACTCTGCAGCCTCAAGGATGCCGAGTGGCATTTCTGTATCATGTTTGTGTGCCAGGGTTTTGGGGGGAGGGAGGGGGTGCTACAGGGGTGGCTTCTATGAGAAGCTGCCAGAAGCTTCCCCCACGTCCGATAGAGCCAATGCCAGCCAGCTCCAAGACAGACCCCCTGCTGGCCAAGGCCAAGCCCATCAGCGATGGTGGTAGCAATTCTGGGACAATAGAGTTAAGAAGGGAGGAAAAAAGCCTGTGCAACTGCAGCAGAAGAGAGGAGTGAGAACACGTGAGACTGCAGACACTGAAGTCAGTGAAGGAGGGGGAGGAGGTGCTCCAGGGGCCGGAGCAGAGATTCCCCTGCAGCCCACAGAGGTCCATGGTGGAGCAGAAACCCACTCGCCCCTCCCGTGGCATTCAGCAGCTGGGGTGCCAGCACGAGCGCCGCGGGGCAGCTGTGCCGCTCACCATCTGAGCGTTCAGCAGAACTATCACTTCTCCTCATCCTGTTTCATTTTCCCTGAAATTGCCAACCATTTCTCCCAAGTCTCTGAACCGCCTACCTGCAGCACCAGCCCCGCAGTGTCTTTTCCACCAGGCTTCCTCCTTCCTCATTTTCGGTCCCGTTGCTTTTGATTTTCATTCCTTTACAAGAAACAAGCTGTGGCTTTGTGTGGGATGGGCTGTGCATCATCTCAGGACTTTTAAATTCAGTGGCTGCCAGATCTGACTCAGGAGCTGACAGCAGAGTGACCGGACATCAGCTGGTCTCCTAAAGTGGGGAGAATAAAGCCGAGCCAGGGTGAAGCCCGGGAGGGGATGTGCTTGCTGGAGCTGTCCTCCCCCACCCTCAGCAGAGCAACAGCTGCTCCCCGCTGGCGGGCACCCAACGGCACCGCC